CGTACGCTGTTCTTTCCGAAGATGCGCACAAGAAGTGGTATTTTGCTAGATGCGAATATACATTTCTTGAGGTTGAGGTATAGCTTATGCTCACGAATAAGTGTAAGAAGATTATGGACGCGGAGTCGGTGGGCTTCCACGTCTGTTTTAGTATTCATAGCGCGGCTTTAAATGAGCACATCGTCGAAGTAACTCGGTGCAAAATCGCGCACTGGTATCAATAGAATTAAATCACATTAATTGAATGTAGCTGGTGCATTGCTTAGCCCTTGTGGCATCACCAAACATTACCAGAGCATACATTAGGGGAGCTCAATGCCGTGTACGTAATTTCCCGTTCACGTATTAGGATCTGATAGAAATCATTTATCCGTTCCTTAAACGAAAAGGTGGTATACTTAAACATAACATCTATGATTACTTCCTTTCTTGGTATCGCCGTTGGCGCCAGTATCGTTGCAGCATCCAACTTGTCAAACGCGTGAAATTTCCTCCACCCTCCTATGGCCTTGCGCACACAGAAGGTCGAAGAGCTGTGAGGTGAAATTGACTCCCTCACATGGCCCGCAGCTAGGCGATCGGCAAAAGCTTGTCGATCTCCCTGACTTGTTTCCGAGGCAGTGGCCACTGCATCATGACAAAATATTTCGTGCCTGGAACTAGTTTGATCTCGTGTCGAGTAGCTTTATCCTTAGGTAACTCGCACGGTACGAATTCAGGGAATACATCCTTGAATTCGACCAAATCCTTATACAAAGGACTTGACTTCAGTGACTCCCAGGATTGCAATGTATATCGCTCAATCCTAGTCTTCTCATCAAGGACACTTTCGTCCATTGATAAGCTCTGACAACCCGTTCGTTCTAGGCAAAAACTGTTGCAGACCGAATGTCAGTCATGTACTCGTCCTCTGCGACGAGCACACAGAACTGCTTGACTTTGCCACTACGCAGATCACGCAAGAACCTTTTAGGCTCAAGCGTAGTCAACAGTCTTATCTCCGAAGTTAACTTCGGAGGCGCAACCAAGAGCGCCTACGTTTGATCCGTCATTACTTGAGACGCTTAACGTCTTAGCTACGTATTGCCTAAAGGCACTAGAACTTATCCCCTCAGTCTCGATGGAAGTAATGCCATCGACTTCCTCTAGATGTGGCGACGCAAACACAGCGGTATCCTATACGATCATCTCTTTAGTTGATCTAGGATTACCGTGTTGCCGATTCTGGTTACCGGTTTGTTCTTCAGTGAATGTTGCCCTCTAGGCAACATTCATGTCCTGGCCCACTCGACATATTTGAATGGTGTACCTTCAGCGCTGCTTGTGCTCGTGCACAGCCGCCGGCAGCTTGCTATACATTTTGACTGTCTGTCACACTGAGTTCTTGTAACGGGGCTAGAACGTACCGTCACTAGCTTACACGCGCGCTCGAGGAAGACTCGAGCCCAAGTATTAGGTATTAAGTAAATTTAACTCTGATTTTTATTTTGGTTTTAATTCGTACTAATTACGAAGATTTCAATCGTAATAAATACGACAGTGTTCCCGCCTTTCGGGAACCACACAATTTCGGGTTGATTTATCATTGGTCCATATTGGGGACTTTTAGGCCCCAATAATAAACCAATAATAAATTACCACGCTGTGCCCGCTATTCGGGCCCAGCACCTGCCTACATATGTAATTGTTTATTTGTGCTAACTATGTGTGTAATGTAGCCCATTACAGTTCTTGTGCAGTCGTACTAACGACCAAGCCACAAGTGAGTCCATCGAACTCACTCGTAGTATATTCAAATGCCTGTGAACTCTTCAAGACGTTCATCAGATGGCCATCTGATAAACAAGCGGCAGGCATCTTTATGATTCGATGCTGCGAGCAGACCCATGACTCGTACCTTCTGAGCCATGGTGATCCTAGGATGACAAATTTGATGATGATTTATTGTACTCTTTACCTTCAAGTGTGTAGTGAATTCGCACTACATATTTTTTTACTTTCCAAATGTGCCTGATGCAAGGCGCACCGTCATCCTCGTTAGGGGAGGGGGGGGGGGGTTGCGCTCAACATATTTGAGCCTACGATCATCTAGCGACGTCTCACAGTTAACTAGGGTGCAAAGTGACATGTCCTTTGTCACTTCGATTTTCAAGATGATGAGGGAAAACCCATCACTAGAAGCGGCAACACACAGTGAATGTGTGTTGGGAACAACCTTCTTCAGAAATCTCGCGAGCTCTCATGGCGATGCTAAATCAAGAGGGCGGTCCGACCCTGACCGTTTTTATGGTCCACCACGTTGTTTCGATTCCGCAGCAGCGTGGGAACCACGTCTCTGGCCTTCTGGGCAGAGGGACGATCGTCGATTTCAGTGTTACGAGACACTGGGCATGGGGCATTATACTCATTAGCGTAGTGACCCATTTTTTGGCAGCGATTGCACTTTTGCAATCGCTTGTATCATGGAGAGCGAGCGACCTCGCTCTCTACATAGGATAGGTCCATTGGCTCTGTACCTCCACCCTCCTGTCATCTCGGTGGACGATAGGATCTTGAGTGGACAGGAGACTGTTGTAGGCTGATGTCCTCCTGTTCCGCTGCAAAGATCGCCTGAACGAGCGACTCTAGTTTCAAGCGGAACAGGTGGGTCTTGAAGGGACCATCTGTCATACCCTTGATCAACACAGTAACTTGTGTTTTTTGTCACACTTTTCACACTGCGCAGGTAAGTATCGCCGTTTAGTAGGATTAACAATACAGAGTAGGGATATAACACGGAACACTTGCATCCCACTGAGCAACCTAGGTATTGAGGAGAAAAAACCCTCGTAGGTGAAAAATCCTGTTAGATTAGACTCTACAGTAGATATACCTCAACTGTAACGATGCGTCCCAGCATCATACGACCAACTATTCATGCGCCACACTTAGAATCAGGGACACGACATCTTGTACCCCACTATTCTGAATAGTTGCGAAGTACAAGATGTACTTCACACGACATCTTGTAATTTGCAAAAATTTTAATAGTGGAGTTCAGCACAATACAGCTGACAAGATATCGTGCGTGTTGGGCGTAAGCGTGTATATCACGCTTACCCTGTCTCAGATCCAGGAGCTCAGCCCGAGCCCTGAATTCGGCGCGAGGCGGTTCAAACGTAAGAGCCGTGCTCTAAATACATCATACGTTGGAAAACGTATGGGTCCTGCAGCTTGAGGCCTAAAGCCCAAGCTTTGGCACGTCCACCCAAGTTCAACAGATTGACCTTGAACTTCATCGCATCGTCATCGATGCAACGAGCCTCAATGTCATCGTCGAGTTCGACGTACCATCTCAACAAGGAGTCAATTTCGACTGCCGTGTACTTGGAGACATCAATCTCCAAGGACTAGGGTCGGAGTATATGTGTCGACTCGGCAGCAGCAGCACTATCCTGCTGTTGTCATAATAGCTCAGACTGTTGAGCACCCTGCTGCAACAACAAGTCAGCTTGTTGAGCGCCCTTCTGCACCAACAAGTCAGATTATTAAGCGCCTTGTTCTCTCAACAGGTCTACCTGTTAAAATTCTTGCTCCTGTAGCAAGGTGAGCTTCTTAACGACTTTGTCACGTTCATTTTGTATGAACTTGGCGATGGCTGCATGTTGCTCGTCTCCGCTAAGAGAGAGCAACATGGCACCGAAGGCGGCATCGCCGACGGTATCATCCATACGCTGCACCGCTTGATATAAGATAAGATATTAGTTAAATGGGGGAACTTTTTACGCGATGCGTGAAAACATGTCACATCCGCTGGCTCCATAGCGAATGAGTTGTTGGTCGTTCAAAGGACCACGACGTGCTACCAGGTGTAATGGGCACCCTCCGACTATACTGATAACAGTATAGTCTACTTGCACTGTCAGTAGTGCAAGCGGTGCCTCGAAATCTCACGTACACGGGCGGAGGCAGAGAAGGCTATACGACTAAGTGATGTAAGAAAAAAAGAGTGTATTATATATATTTTAACTATTTAATAAAACCAATCTGCTATAACCTTGTCTGAACTATATTAAACCATAACTATGTATGTTGACAACATGCCCTCGAATCATTGCGCGCGTCCGTCGGTCGTTGGTCAGCGCGTTAGTTGATGTAATGGCATGTATTAACCAACAAGAGATCATCTCCAACCTCCAGGAGACTGCAAGAACAATATTATGAGCAAAGATAATATTGTCGAGTATTATTAGATATAATAATATATCATTATTGACACTTCATATAAGTGTTAATATCATGCACTCGTCACAGAAGCCGGGCTAAGATCACGACTTATCCATGATCCTTCCCACTTGGACTCGGACTGGAAGTCAAGCTGGCGTATTCACTACTACTTCTTACTTTCAGTTATGTGTCCACATAACCCCATTTTCAGCTGCTACATTCAGTCAAGCAGCGGCATGTATGAGATAATACCGCACGTCGAATTTGCATGTAGTAGACGGTCCATATATCTTAATAATATTACTCGATGCATCGCTGCTGTGTACAGAATTTTCAGTTTAGCTTTTTTAAATCCATTGGCTTTACCTCATGACTACACGACATTTACTTCTGTTTCAATGTACGAATTCGGTAAGCAAATGCTAATAGGGAACTTGGGTAATATAGAACCATATATATATGTTGATGCTCTCTTTTATGATCTGCACGATAATTTGGGTATTTTTTGTGGTCAAGTCAGCGCCCCTTCTCCCTCCCAAAGCTTTCGCTTTATATCATATACAATCCACGACGACGTAAAAAGAGGAAAAGGAACAACAGGAAAAGCATTATAATACCATTGTGGTTTTAGGTGCTTTGTCGATTGTATGAGATGCAAACAATTCGATTTAGAATCATTTCTTGTTAGTTATAAAATAAATTTCTAAATTTATATATTTGAACTGACTAAAAGTATTCGGTAAACTTACATATATGTACACAAATTCAATCTCATCCCTTTCAAGACTCGGATAATGTCTCGTTTTCTCGCTGAACCCATCACTACCAAGACAATCAAGACCTTTTCAGCACCCGGTATGTTCATTGGAAAGGCAAGCATGCAAGGTTGGCGTGATACTATGGAGGTAAATTACCATCAAGATCAGATTTTTTTTGCAGTGTAGACAGTAACACAAAACCTATCGATTGACCCTTTTTTTCGTATAATCGTTTATTTTATTTTAAACAGGATGTCGATATTGTAAACATTCCAATGCATCCGGATGTACCGGATACTATTTGTGTTGCTGTATTTGACGGCCACGGTGGTTCTGCCGTCTCAACGTACATGTACGTAGTGGTATGACCAGAATTTGCTTTGGTGTGACTTGTAAGTCTGACTGATTTTCATGATATTTTTTTTCTTTTTTAGAGCTGAGAAAATTGTGGAAGCTATTACAGCTACTGAAGCTTTCAAGAAGGACCACAAGTCTCCAGAGTCTCTAGCTATGGCTCTGTGTGAGGGTTTCATGACTGTTGACGAAATGCTGAAGAACCATCCCGAATTTGGGACCTCTTCTGATGAAATGGGTTCAACGGGTCTGTTTGCTATTGTAACACCCAAGGACGTGGTGTGTGCTAATGTGGGCGACTCACGATGCATTTTGAGCAATGCTAAGATTCCCGAGGTAGTGCAGTTGTCGGTGGACCACAAGCCAGATTTGGAATTTGAAAAACAGCGCATTGTAGCAGCTGGAGGAACAGTCTTTCGTGGTCGCGTGTGCGGTGGTGTAGCTGTCTCACGGAGCTTTGGCGACTTGTGGTTCAAGCGCAATGTCGATTTAAAGCCCCACCAGCAGCTGGTGACGTCAGAACCTTGTGTTCGTGTGCAGCGTCGCGATCCGGCAGACGAGTTCTTGGTGCTGTGCTGCGACGGAATCTTTGACGTCATGAGCAACGATCAGTTGCGCAAGTTTATTCGCAACAATCTCAAAAACAACATAAAAGACCCCAAGGATATCGCAGAGAAGTTGCTGGACGAGTGTTTGGCCAAGGGCAGTCGCGACAACATGAGCGCTGTCATCGTGCTCTTCAACGCTGCCTTTAATAAGTAGCTGACTAGCCAGCCAGTCAGCCTTTTTGGCCTTCACGTAAGCATAGTTGGGTGTCTCGCACCTTAAACTGTATTCTTGCTGTATTGTATTGTAACGGTGCTTGCTTCTGCTTCCTGCAGATAATTGTTACCCAGACACTGCATTTTGCTGCGTTATTTCGCTGCCGCTGCTTTTATTTGTCAATGTCTGCATACAGTGTGAGTTCATGATCTCGACTTGGTTGTCGGCAGCAACAGTCGATGTAAAGCACAACAAGCAGCTCACGGCTCAGTAGATATTGCACATTTCTGCTACACTTGATCGACTTCGGACGCCTACGAGCTCAAGTGCCAACGGTATGATGCAAATGTTATACGGAAAGTTGGGGATGTCAACTACTATAATCTGAGGTGCAACACTTGTTGAGGTGAGGTCCTGACAGCAATTGTCATTTACATTTTCATCTTCTTACATACTACCAGCTCATGAAGCAAAGAACCCACAAAAAATCGGTTCCTGCTGCAACAACCTTTTGCTAAAGGACTAGCTAATGCTCATGCAGCAGCTGTACCATGTCATTTATAGTGTTTATTCATAGGTGGCAATGAAGACGAAAGATTGCATCTGGCTTTGGCTGCTCTTGGCTTTGAAACGACGCTGACACTCAGCATGTTGACACACGTGCCAAGCTTTCCTAGATAGCCAACTTGACACAAACCAATCATCGCTTTCAGGTGACTCAAACATAGGCATTTAGTAGCTTCATTTATGATACATTTCTACTACACTGCGGCTGGGAACGCCATCATGAAGCTGCAAAAGTCAATGAAGATGTACTCTGTGAGGAAGTAAAAAATCGTGGCCAGAAAAATTGAGATAGGCAGCGCTGGAAGCGCCTTGTGCAGCACGGCAAGAAGAAAGAGCGTTCCTCCAAGACCCTGTCAATGAACAAAACAGACACACACCTGTCAGTAACGTGTAATACGTTTAAGGAGAAGTTAGGCGCTCATGCTTACCATCACGATACACACGAAAGTAACAGCAAATGTGGAAAAGTCTTTGATAGCAGCACGGCCGACCAACACACTGTAAAAGATAAAGTCGCCCAGTCCCAGTTTAATGGTTTTTCCGTCTTCCTCTTCCTCTTTGCGTTCGCGTTGGCGACGGTCACGTCTTGCCTGTACTGGACACGGCATGTCCATCGAACACGAGCAGACGTAGTACTTGTGAAACATCAGCAGCCAAAGGCGATCCTGTGTGGGGAAAAACTTTTCAGCGACTTGCGAAGCCTTCCACGCGTCTTCAGGACTGAACGTCTCGTAAAACGTGGTGAGCAAACTCACAAGCGCTTCCAACGTTTCACACTCATACGTGGTGAAGTTAGACTCAGCTACATTGCGCGGCCGATGTCCGGAAGACAGGACCGGGATCGGAGACGAGTCAATCGTCGTCGGGACAGGAGCCGCCATCGGCACTTGACTCAAATCTTGAGGGGGCACCGCACGGGTGATGTTTGTCACTTGCACGTTGGCGTTGCTGTTTTGGTGGCTGGTGCCAGACGACTTCGAAGTAGCCAACGACGACTGCCGCTGCATATCAGCGACTTCCCCCTCCGGCGTGCTTTTAGATCGTCGTTGTGTTTCTTGCTGCTGCTGTTGCTGTAGTCGATGGCGGTCGTGCGAAACACCATCAGAAACATCAGCTTCGTAGAGTAGACCCGGTAATGGCGCCTGCTTCTCCTGAATAAGTCCAATAAGATACTTGAGCGGTCCGCAAGGCGTAAGCACAGCGCACAGATCGTAGCAAGCAAACATGACACAAAAGATGATGGTCGTCCATTCTGGCCACATGGAAAACTGCCAGGCCAAGATGACACTGACCATGACCAAGTAGCCATTTTGCACAAATTTGGGTGTTCCTTTCTGGTAAAAAATAGAAATCACACCAACAAAACCAAAATTGATCATGACAAAGAGGAACGACGGCCAGTCAACAGCCCAACCAAATTGGTCATTCACAATCTCATCCACAAGTTGTCCTCCAACAAAGCTCAAGATAGCAGTCGAAGCAAACATGATGTAGCCACTCAGAAATTTCATACAGTTGAATTTGTACAATAACGCCATGCCAAATGTCAGCACAGCAATACCTCCAATAATCACAAGTGCATTGACCAATGATTCTCCAATACCGGAACCTCCTCCATTGCTTCCAATGCTACTAGCTCCAGATCCCGATTCTCCATAAACCAAATACGACGACATCGAAGCCTCAATACTCGAACTGCGGTAATTTACAACCACAAGACTAGCGACAATCATCGTGACACATACTGGAAATACAATGGCCCAAAATGAATTGATACCATGCATCAAATCGTCGTATTCTTCGCCATCAACCTTAGGTTCTTCGCCATTTTCCTGCACCGTCGTCTCTTGTTCATTTGGTTCATTCTCTGAACGTTTTACGGTCAAAACACGCCCTGAAACGGGTGAATCATTACTATTGGGCGTCCTAAGCTTATCGTAGTTCATGGTGTTCATTGCAATTGTATCATCCGTAGCCATGACACTGTCTTGATTGCGTTTTATAGTGTCCTTCGTCATGCAAAAGCTCCGTATGAAGGTCGACACTCGGGTCTCCCACTGGAAAAAAAGACAGTTCTGTGAAAAAAAGGAATCGGGCAATTTTTTACTTGGCGTTTGTAACGATAATAAGAGACGAATCGAAAATCAGCTGGAAAAAATGGGCACTTTTCGACAAGCTTTACTATAGAATACGTTATGAAAATTTAAATTGCATGATTCGATATGCTAGCACTATTGTCGATGCATACTCGACGTATTGATAAAAAAGGGAGAGGTTTCTTCTGATTGCAATGTATTGACGTGTTGACGTTGTCGAAAGATCAAAAACGCGACAAAGAAATGCGCTTGAAGCGCTCTTTGTGCGATCGTTGGTAGAGTAGACTTGGATGGTCAGATAGATGCAGATTTATAATCTCGTTGTAACGTAAATAAAGCCTCGCTCTCATGACGAGCTCAATCAATGTCGATGAAACCTTTTTGCACCATTTGGTGTTGAAAATGGCATCGTTTGCCTGATTTGGAGTGTAAAGGAATTCTTTCTTGTTGCAATTACGCTCAAGCACGAGCAGAGATCATCACTGTAACTGTTGCCATAGTTGTTAAAGTCGTTGATTTTATAGTCTTCTGCTCCAAAAAAGACCTGACTTGTTAAAACAGGTAAAAGGCCAGTGGTACGTCAAGCATCAGTTGAGAGACAGACCTAGAACTTTTGGCTTGGCATCTTGTAGCTGAAACACAAACATGGCAAACTTCAAATGCGTGCAGTGAAAATTGTAAGCTGAGGTGCTACATTGCCACTTTTAATGCAAAGAATGTAACTGTGAATGTGAAACAAACAGCTTTAGCATCCGATCGTAGTTGTTGCTGGCAAATTAAAACAATACCGTTCGATCAACGTTAGACCGACCATAATATGGCACGGAATCTGTAAAGCTCTTCGTTGCATACTTTCGCTCGCTCCTTCATGTTTTTATCGTGCAATCGCGGTTTGTGATGTTTCCATGTGTTGTCATTTTAGACCTTCACCCATCACTTGTCAGGATTTAAGACCAGCTCAAGCGATCGATCTTACTAAGACCATTAATTGCTGCCACGCGGTAGGCTTCCGCCAGCGTCGGGTAGTTGAACACAGCATTGCGGAAATACTCAACGGTACCGCCAGTGGACATAACTACCTGTCCAATGTGGATAATTTCCGTAGCACCCTCACCTATAGCGTGAACGCCAAAAATCTCGAGGGTCGCTGGGCAAAAAATAATTTTGAGAAAACCAGGCACACCTCCAAGCATCTGTCCCTTCGCCAGCTCTTCGTAACGAGCCACACCAACCTCGTACGGAACCTTTTCCTTCGTTAGTTGCTGCTCGTTCTTGCCCACCATGGAAATTTCTGGCACAGTGTAAATGCCAAATGGAAATACTTCACCTGAGCGCATACGAGTGCGCACGCGGTCCGGGTCGTCCATCATCTTGTCGTCCGAGATCTTCTTGGTGTAAAAAGACTTGGAGGTGCGCATGTGGACAGAAGCAAGACGTCCTTGTTCCATTGACGTCGATGCAAGCCCCGGGAAACCAATGATGTCACCTGCTGCATAACTACATAAGACCAACACAAGCATTAGCACTGCGTCATGGCTTAGCTACAACTGAGCGACATTGAACGTACATATGAGGCACCTCAGTCTGGAAATTGTTGTCGACTTTAATGCGTCCACGTTTGTCCGGGACAATGCCTACCGCCTCCAAGTTCAAGCCTTCCACATTTCCCTGACGTCCAACCGTGTACAGCAGACCGTCACCGACAACAGTCTTGCCACTTTCGAGGTGCACGATGACTTCGCCATTAACAGACTTCTCTACACTCTTAATTATCTCATTAACAAGGAACCGGGTTCCTGTCTGAGCCATAGAGTAACACAGCGCCTCAGAAACTTCCTTGTCTGCCACGTCAAGAATCTCCTTGCGCCCGTCGATCACCGTCACGTCCGTGCCGGGAATGATCGTCATCATGGACGCATATTCCATCCCCACAACACCAGCACCAACAACGATCAAACGACGTGGCACCGACTTCACCTTCCCCCACAACAATTGGTCGCTATCAAAGATGGTCTCTCCATCGAACGGGATGCCCGGGCGACGGGCCGGTCTTGTGCCCACGCACACCAAAAAGTTGTCAGCAGTCAACACACTGCAGTAACAAACAAGTAGCTGCTATCAGCATCATATGGTCCTAAAGAGAGCAAGAAAAAAGCAAAACAAATATCTGGTAGCTTTACCGCTTGCAAATGTCAGCACTAGAATGTCGATTAGCGTCCGTAGCAGTCTCGTACGATTCATTTGACAGCACTGCGACCATATGGTTATTACCAGGCATAAATCTCGCCGTACCATTAATCAGCTGCACTCCATTACGCATCAACTGATGACGTGTAATGTCCGTCTCAGCATCTTCGACCTTTTTCACACGCTGCAAAATGTCCATGACTCCAAATCGTTTACTAGGTCCTGCTTGACCATTGTAAAAAGCCTTGTGACGATATCCCGTTAGGTGAAGTGCTGCCTCGCGGAATGTCTGTAGTAGAATAAAAGCAATACAATAATCACCTTGTTAGGTACTCCCAACTCTACATCCAACTCTTTCATATTAGCTATCACCTTGGAGGGTATTGTACCCGTGTGCACACAGACACCACCCGTCATGTCACGTTTGTCAATTATAGCTACAGAATTGCCGTGTTTAGCGCTATCAATGGCGCATTTCTGACCTGCAGGTCCACTACCAATTACGATAAGGTCAAAATGTTCACTGGCTCGAAGGTCACGAAGCGTATCAGTTAATGATTTTGTATCGACTACAATATCACTGTTGAAGGTGGAGAAAGATTCAATACGTAGAAGAGGTCGTGAGGGTAACGAGGTTGCTAGAGACGTCACGGAGCGACGCAGGAACAGAGCAGCCATTTGGATCGGTGTGGCAGGAATCCTTAATATGAAGTATGAAAGGTTTGGGCCTGTGTGCCACACCATCTTTACAGGTAAAGGTAGAATTTGTGCTGGAAACAGAGCCAGTGGTGAAGTTTATAATGGCAATAATAATGATAATAGTTTGAGTGCGAATTAGACATTCCTAATAGTTTGGTCATTAATATAGATAATAACTATGTAAGTTTAGACTAAAACCTGCTAAAATGTCCTTAGCTAGTAGCGTTATTTTGTATTGAGTAAATAAAATCCACCACTTTTTGAACAAAAAACCACTGATCGCCCTCCTTTTACATTAAAATTCTCGATAGCTACGACAATATTTACATAATCCGTCCATCTTTCGACCCGACACTCAAACAAACCCAACAAACCCGACCGAACGACATTTTTTTTAAAGTATAAGAAGTTTTGCCCGTCGCAATTCCGCACGCGTTTCTTTCTCGAGACTTTGTTGGTCATACGTATTTGTTCGTAGGTGTTAACTTGATAGAAGAAGAAGAAGAAGAAGAGTTTCTAGACTCTTGTTAATCTTTGCTACAGTCGCCGTCAAAAGAGGGAGAGAGATAATCGAGTTTAAAAGATTTATTGGGCTACTGACTTGAAGATGACAGACACGACCAAATTAGGGTAAGTAGACACAAAACAACACAATAAAAGCAACTGTAGACGTCTGGAATGGGTCTAGGAGATAGATGTTTATACAATTTAGGCAAAAGGGAAGACCAATGGACAAATTTGCTGAGTGACCACGTGTTCGATTTGTGTGTGCTTTATGCAGGAAAATATTCATTGGCGGACTGTCATACGAGACAACGGACGGTGAGTTCTTACGACCTGGATACGGAGGAGAGAGTTTATGTATTGATTTGATTGTTGCGATGCAGAAAAGCTTCGGTCGTACTTTGGAGCTTATGGCACAGTGACGGATGCTGTAGTGATGAAGGATCCGATTTCTAGACGATCACGAGGCTTTGGCTTTATTACGTATACAGACCCTTTGTGTGTTGATAGGGCATTGACACAGTCTAACCACGTTCTAGACGGCCGTAGAGTATGTTGATGCGCTGCTGTATCGTATTTCTAGCTTGGTTTCGCTTGATGCACTCACTGACTTAATCTTCGAATGCATGCCAGGTTGAAGCTAAGCGTGCCGTTCCACGAGCAGAGAGTATGCGCGAAACCGGGATTTCTTTGTCGTACAGTCGTGGTAGCGCTCCCAATTCAGTATCAAGCATTTGTACGGACAATGCTGTTGGCGCCACGAAAAAAATATTCGTGGGTGGCCTACATTATGAAACAAAAGATGGTACGTTGCAGCCTAGTATTTGCTTTGGAAAAATAAGTTGTCGCATGATTTGATGCGGTTTATTGTGATGCGATTCCTTCTCCAGCGGACTTTAAAAAGTATTTTATGCAGTATGGCAAAGTGGTGTCGGCTGAAGTGATGTTCAATCGTGAGACAAACAAGTCGCGTGGATTTGGTTTTGTCATTTTTGAAAGCGAGGCCAGTGTTGAGCTGGTGTTGCAGGACAAGAATCACGTGATCGATGGTAAGTCCGTCGAGGTTAAGCGCGCTGTCCCGCGTACGGACGTTCCTCCTCCGCGATCAGTCTCGTCCCGTGGAGACTCTTTTAGTGGTCCGTCAGGACCTGGCTCTGTGGGAAGTATGGACGACATAAACTCTGCGACAACGCCGCCAGTGTCGCTTTCTGGTAGTGTACCGTCCGCTAGTGGCCTCACCGCTGCTATGGGATCAGAGAAAGTAAGCCGGACTTCGGCTCCGGCTAATCTTATGCCTAATGGCATGCTCGGGGGCTACGCTGCCGCTGTTCGTTATGGTGGTCGAGGAGTACCAAAGACCTCCAGCTCCAATGGCATGCTTTCGTCATGCTCACAGACATCTCCCCGACTACTGTCCGGCGACACCAGGAGCATCAGCAATGGCATCAACCTTGGAACACCCACGATCGGTGGTGTTGCAGATGCGTTGTGCAGTCTCGTGCTTGGTGATGGAGTCTCGTCCCGCAGTGGTGGTTTTATTGCTGCTTCTCCGCCATTGTCAGCATGCTCGTCGTCGCGTGGATCGTCGGACTACCCAGTTGACTCGGCTTCGGTGTCAGGTACAAACGGACACTTGTCGCCATTGGACGTTGCTCTTCGCCGTCTTGACAGCGACCCAGTAATTGAGCAGTGGAAGTTGTCTCCTAGCTCAGGCCCGCAACGCGCCTCGGACGCCCCTCTTACCTTGCATTCTGAGCCGAGTTACCTTCCACATGGACTAACGAACGATAGCACGGAATCGGTTTCAAACTTATCGTGGCAAGCGGCATCTTGGCAGCAGCAATCGTGGGGCTCTCCGCCGTTGCCGCGGGGTCAACAACAACAGCAGCAACCCTCATTGCCTCCTGCTCCAGCACCATTATTTTCGATGTTTTCAAATCAGCTTAGCAGTGGTCCTCCTCTTCATGGTTCGAGCGCGTGGCACGCTAATGCAGACAGGGGATACGTAAACAACGAAGCTACTGTCAACCCCGACGGCGACGGTTTCGGTAACGGGATGATGGGTATGGGCCTGTCTATCGACGGTGGGTTTGGTGGTAATGGCGTTGGTCATGGTACATTCGGAATGCATGCAGAGAACGGTAACAGTACACCCTACCGATCGTTGGGTGGATTTTTGCAGCAAGATTATCGTCCCTCCGATCAGCAGCAACAACGTGAGACTATGGTCGCTGAAAACTCAGCGTCGTATGGACGGATGATGAGCCGCGAGGTACCGCCTGATGCAGACGAATTGCGCAAGGATGCATTATCTTTGGTGTACGATTTGCCGCCTTCTGCAACAGAGTTTCACCAGCAGTTCAGATAGAAGCGACACACACGAATCCAGTAGGGCAATGCAAGTACAGCAAAGAGTTGGTCGAGAAACCTCTCCTTCGTTCGTATGCAGCACAGACGTCCACCATGTAGCTCCCACACTTGTGCAAATCCACACTTTGCTGCCGTTTGAGAATGTGGAATACGACGGAGGTTTAAGGCAAAGCCCATGATATGGTGATGTGAGGTTGCAGCGACCGGTTTTTCAATCCGAAAACGACCAAAGTAACAAGACGAGAATCGGAGAAGTGCGAGTCTGCGTGAGTGTAGAAAACTGGGAAGTAGTGAATGACAGAGAGGATATACTAGTATACTAGTAGGTAGTGAAATAGTGGAGTAGGAAAAGCGAGGAAGATGATGAAGTACTGAGATAACAACGTTTTCATAGACGGTTCGTGGATTCATATTGGGCATGTAATTGTGATTACGTCATCATTTGTATGGTTTTCAGCAACAGCTGTTTGCTAAAACCACTTCAACTTGCTATGATCTATAAGAGCAGTTACACTTTTATACTACATCAAGATATTACGTCTTTACGTCATACCGTCATATTTGTTTTCTTACATTATTCGAGCATCTTACAACAAAAATGGTCACCAAGTGGGCGGCGTCAGACGAGGAGAATCAGTGGCGTCGTACGTTCTGCCAAGTGCCGTTTGGCGCCATTTATAAGCATGCAGATAAAGGCAAGCGCAGTCTTCAGGTACTGGCAGCATTTTTTCGTCGCAAGGCAGAGGCAGAGCGTGACGCAAGCGAGCAACTGCGAGAGCTGCTGCTGCTAGACGAGATTGGCAATTTAGAGGAGTTTGGAACGGGTATTAGACGCGCTTTGGTGGAATTAAAAGGGTTTGTGGATGGAAGCTGTAGACAGAAGCTACTAATGGCTCAGGTACTGGACGAACAGGTTGCAGGACCCCTGGAGTCGCTTAAAGATGCATCAGAGACCTACATCCAGACGCTTCAGGGTGAGATTCTCAATGCTAATAATGAGTATGAAACAGCAGCTGATGCTTATAGAGAAGCTGCTAATCGACTACATCGATCTACAATGGAACTACGTGAAGCAAAGGGCAGACAAAGACTTGCACTTCATGTAAGCAGTGGAATCAAGTTATAGAAAGAAGAAAGAGAGAGTTTTTGTCGGATACTGAGATGTTGTGTGTATATTTATGTAGGATATTGGTGTGCCAGAGTTTGAGCTACAACGGCTAGCTGCTCGAGTTAATAGGAGTGAAGAGGAACAGGCTCAGGCGGTAATGGCACGAGCACGTGCAAAGACAACTTTATACAACCGGATAATTGCAAGAGATGAAATGACAATGGCTGTGAGTGTGGCGTATCAAAAGGCAGAAGAAGAGAGATTGGACCTACTGACTACAAGCTTGCATCGCTTTGTTCATGTGGAGAAAGAGCGACTAGAACATTCACAGCAGATGCTGACTTCACTTGAGACCCACGTGCAGAGTTTGAGTCGCGCAGAAGATATACAACTATTTATTCATAATCAGCGTGATCCAGACAATATCCATTTTCAAGGAAAAGCATTGGCACTATTGGATTGGCAGTGGAGCAAAACACAGGTGGATCATGTGGGGAATGCAAGACGACACACTTCCGATCTGCTGGAACGTCGAGCTAGCACTGAGAACGGCATTTTTGCGTTACCGACGTCGTCATTGGCGTTGACAGCACCGATATGCTCATCAAGAGATGTGTCAGTCAACACTGCCGTGTCGGATTTGGTGGCTCAACCAGGTGGCAGTCCACATACTGTTCTTACACAAAGTCCTATCAGCGTCGCTCTCCGCGAGTATTTTGTGGGAGATAGGGAGCATGGATCATTTTCACTCAATGAAGCCATCGAAAGCGACACAAGGGTAAATCTTTCACGAAAACTCTCTGATGCCGAAAACGATGAGGCCATTCCATCTCCGCAGATGTCTAGCAGTTACCACGTGAGAACGTCGACTGAGACTCTCGTTCATGAGACGTGCAAGACTGCCGAGGGTCGGGCTCTGTTTGTGAAATGTCTGAACCGGCAACGTAGTTTAGAGACGAAGGTAAAGGATCAAGCGAGTTTTGAAGCACTTGTCGTTTGCTTTGATGCGTTTCTCGACGAGTGCGTCCGTCAAGACGATATCAAAGCAGCGAAGACTGCTATGATTTTGGCTGAAACGTTCTACTACCCAAAGACACAACAGCAAGAGGCTCGGCCAGGACCAGAGAGCAATACTTCAGATACCATGCGGTCTGTACACGACGGATGCACTCATTCAAGAGACGACGAGTCTGACAACTTGAAGCGACGGACGTCATTGCTGTGTGCGGATTGCAGAGACTACACGGAGCATACAAGTGAAGAGCTGCTTCAATACGTAGACAAAATACACCCTTTGCTGCACGGCGAAGGAATCAACCGCGGTGCCACTCGGACGTATATGCAAGAAAAAGTCAAGAAGCATTCCATCTGGAAGACACCTTCGGTGAGTCTAATAGCATCCTGTTTGTTCTGGCGGATCGAATTAATGCTTGCTGTTGTGCTGCGATCAGTTTTGGGAGAAGGCGTTGCTGTTGGCCATTGGTGAGGAGCTTCAGCGGACACCGCAGCCATGCCCATGGGAAGAACTACCGAGTGGTGTACCTAAGCACGACGGTAAGTCTTGGTCTTTCAACGATTCAATGGTTCTGAATAAGATCTGATGAAGTTTGGTCTCGATGCTTATAGGTCTGCCATCACGCGAAGAAGCCGTGTGCCGCGTGCATAATATTGTGTTTGGCCAGCTTGGTTCGTTCACTCTAAGTATGCTTGAGTTCGATGTTCCACTTGCACAGATCGAATCATTTGTGGAAACTATGTGCGACGCTCATGAACTGACGGAAGATCAGCGTTTTTTGCTTCGCAAAAACTTGCAGGAGATCGTCGCAACGCTGCGGTGCTGACAACCATTTGCATTTCAGTAAGAGCATCTACACGTGAACGTTGCCAGTAGTCAGTAGTAAATGACATTGTATTGATCACCGTTCAGTTGGTTTTCATCGTTGTTAAGACCTTTCGTTTACCTTTGATCTAGTTCAAGCGTTCAATGATCATCGCACCAGCACCTCCGCCACCGTTGCAAATGGAAGCACAGCCAATGGTAGCATCCTTCTCCTTCAGAATGTGAATAAGCGTGCCTACGATGCGTGTGCCAGACATGCCAATCGGATGACCAATAGCAACGGCGCCACCGTTCACGTTCACGCGATCGTGTGGGATGTTCATCAGGCGCATATTGGCAAGCGCCACGACAGAGAAAGCTTCATTAATCTCATGGTAGTCCACGTCGCTCAGTTGCAATCCCGCATGGTTCAGTGCCAATGGTACAGCTTTCGACGGTGCAATAGTAAACTCGACAGGGTCCTGTGCTGCATCAGCAAAGCCACGGATACGTGCAAGAGGCGTGACTCCGAGCTCACGAGCCTTAGCTCCAGTCATAAGTACCATTGCAGCTGCTCCATCGTTCAGCGTAGATGCATTAGCAGCTGTAATAGTGCCATCTTTCTTAAAAGCTGTACGTAAGCTCGAGATCTTTTCTACTTTCGTATTAAACATCTCTTCGTCTGTATCAAAGACTTTGGCTTCCTTTCCATGTCGTCCTTTAATACTCACAGGTGTAATCTCTGTCTTGAAAAAGCCTCTTTCACTCGCATTGACTGCACGACGATAACTCTCAATAGCAAAAGCATCTTGATCTTCTCGAGAAAAACCAAAATCTTCTGCACATTTCTCGCCACACATGCCCATATGCTGGTTCTTATAAGGATCCCATAGTCCATCGTGGATAACGCCGTCTACAAGCGTCCCATTGCCCAGTCGATACCCCGTACGTGCCTTCAAGAGATAATGTGGTACGTTCGTCATGCTCTCGAATCCTCCAGCGAGCATCACCTCTTGACAGCCGCTCATTAGACTCTGAGACGCCAGGGCCAACGATTTCATACCAGATGCACAGACTTTATTGACCGTTGTACATGGAATAAACGTAGGAAACCCCGCCTTAAGCACAGATTGACGCGCTGGTGCTTGGCCAATACCAGCACTCACAACATTGCCAAGAAAAACCTCATGGATCTGTGCAGGCTCGAGCCCTGCACGCTTGACGGCTTCAATGTTTGCGATAGCGCCTAGTTCTGGTGCTTGAAGGGGCGCAAATGAGCCGTTGAAACATGCAATGGGTGTACGTGCATAGCTTGCGATGACCACGTCAGTATCAGCTACGCGCGTGCTAAAGAGACGACGGGAAGACACAGTACGACGCCACATGGGTACAATCATACGACAGTGTTGACTTGAGAGTGCGGAATTAAAAGTGAGACGATTAAATTGACGTGAAATTGTCGTCATCAGACGCTGTGATTGGATGCATCAAACAGCAAACTTCAACGACAATGTGGACCACGTCACGCATGGAAAGCTGTACCGTACACACTGTGAAATTGATTGCAAGATGCTGTTTCTAGAGCATACACAGGGCTTCGCTGGAGATGACGGCGGTATTATCACGTCTACGCCATCTTTATTTGAGCTACTGATGCAAGAGCGTATGTCAGCGGGATTTAAGCCGGCGGTGGAATATCTGGTACACACGCTGTGCGAGTCGTACCCTAATTTGGCACTGTCGTTGCCTGTGCGTCGCCTTGATGAGAGCTATGCACTACTGCGCTGCTGCATTGAGAGCTACTTCCTGTCGCGATATGACAGTCTAGCTACGGAGAAGTTTTACGGTATGAAGAGAGTCATGATAGCCAATGAAAACGCCAAGGCGACGACAGCTCCATTGACCCCTAGAGCAAGAAAACTTGCCTTGTTTTTTGCGGTACGTCGTACAGTAGTTGTTGTGTAAGCTATTACGTGTGGCTGATATGTATTGATACAGGTAATAGTACCGTACCTGAAGACAAAACTGGATGCATATTATAAAGAGACTGCAGAGTTATCGACCCATCCAACTGTAACAAGTACGAGAAATGCAACTACAGATGACAGAAGAGAGAAACGGATGAGTCGCTTTTTGCAACGTCTTCGAAGTTTTGCGTACTTCCAGGCACTCAAAAAGGCCTTTGTGGTGACATATCCGTATGCACATTTTACGTATGAAGGGTCATTCTTTTTGTACCAGTGGTTGTATCTCTTTAGAGATACGCCATTCTTCTCGCCATTTTTAAAGTGGATGAAGACAATTCTTGTCCGAGTTACAGCAGATGATGAGTCAATGTTACGTCAGAAGGAAATGACGTATCGTGAGAAAGTAATGGAGAAATTAAGCGGCTCTGGAATCGCTGATCGGATTCGACGATTTCTGGTTCGAATGACGTGGGCGACGGTAGATCACTCGTATGTACTGCTAATGCTGAGTATTGCAGCGTACAAGCTTATTGAATGGATGTATTCGGACGAGGGCGTGTCATCAGCGAAGTTGCGGTCCATTGGGACCGACGCACCGGTTCCACCTCCACCATTACCACCTCAATTCTCAGGCCAAGCATTGGCACTGGCTACCATGGATCCTACATTTTGCCCGTTATGCAAGCAAAAGCGTGCAAATCCTGCGATGGTTCCTTCAGGATACGTATTTTGCTACCCGTGCATATACCACTACGTTGAGCAGCACGGAGAGTGCCCCATGACGCAGATAAAGTGCGAGCTCGCCACCATTGCTAAGATCTACGATGATGCAAGAGACCCGTGAGCAAGTAAAGTGTTGTTGCTATGGAAATTCGAGTACAGAAGATGACTAATGTAAGTAGGTTCACAAGTGAACTTTGCAACATAAAGAAGCTGCACGTTCTAAGCCAAGCAGCAAGTTCTCCCAGTAGTCGCTTGCACTTTTCGATGTGCCTGTTGAACATCGGTAACTTGCCACAGTTGAAGCACGAAGACAGCATCCAAGGTTTCGTGTTCATACCTTTCAGGTAAACAAGCGATATACTCGCACATAAAAGGCTAATAGCATTGTGCCCTTCTCCATCACCGTCATCTTCTCCGACATGGTTTTCCACGTCAATTCGTCAACGTCCGAGCAAAGAATGGAGACCGCATGACATCGTATCGGAAACTTTTCGGCATTCTTTGCACATCTAGCGCTGCTATAGTCGCAAGCCCACCGGCAAAGAAAAGTGAGGCTCTTGAGGCTAGTACACATACGACTTTGGTATGATCGACGTGGCCCATACATACTCGTTAGAATCTTTTTATGAAGTTGACCTTTATCCTTGTGATATACAGCAATGCTCTTGTCTCCACTGTTTCTTAGACACTATGACAGTGTAACACCTAAACAGCACGAGAAATTACCCATTGCAAACTTCTAGTAAGCGCCATTATCATTTTTTTTCTTTTGATCAAAGAGTTAGATTCGAAAAAATGCCTTGGAGTAGCTCCTATTATCTCGTAATAGTACTCGTCGCAATAGCTCCTACTATCTCGTAATAGTACTCATCTCAGTAGCTCTTACTATCTATATTAGTACTCGTCGTAGTAGCTCCTACTCTCTATAATAGTAGTACTATTTTTTGTATTAATTGAAGTTATGATCTGAGACGGTTCCACAATATTCGCATTCTTGCGATATTGTACTTATCAACACGATGTATGCGGTCAAAGTGTAACAGCACAGACACAAAAAGCGTCCACCACGCCATTAGTTTTCCCATCGCATGCGACACTCTTCATTCTGATCGTGTCATGTCAAGCAGGTTTACTGTCCAAATTCATGTACCCATTTTTGGGTCCAAAATATAGCCTTTATAGTATGGGTACCTGCGTAACCTTATTAGTTTACCCATTTTACGAAAAAATACCCCTTTCATATCGCATTGGCCGATCACAAAACTTCTCGAGATGAACCGGTTGTTGCAGCATTTCGTGGACTCAAATGGGGCTCCGAGCACACCAGCGTCGCGTCCGTCCATCCCAATACCTCCACAATCGTCTGGGGGCTCGAACAACCTCAACAACCGCGGCTCATATCAACGCGCAGCGCCTGGAGGTCCGTTTTATTACCAGCCGCCCCATTGGCAGTCTTCAGGTGTGAGTGGATTGGAGGAAATCCCACTCACGTCCCAGTCAAGCGGTGGTACGTACGAGACGGTGGACTTGAATACTGACACGAGTCAGCATTTATTCAGTTCGAATCGACGATCATCATTTCAATCTCCTGGGAGCACGGAATCAGCTGCTGAGCTCTTCTCGAGTGGTCCCCCACCCGTAAAAGAGTTTTTTGTCAATGGAGATAATCCATACAGAAGATCGTCGAAATCTGTGACGAATGTGTCCTTTGGTTGTGGACATGGAGGGAACAATACTGGAGAGGAGAAAATTAGGCATTCTCCGTCACAAAAAGAAGACCCATTTGCAACTTTGTCGGATAATAGTAGAATGGACAATTACAAAGCGCACATGAAGAGCCCATTTGTGACACAGGATGGACAGAAGGACCCATTTTCGACGCATACGGAGGAGAACAGGAATGTGTGTGAGAATGGGACATTACGGGCAGAAAAGAATGTGAATGATTCGCTCATAGCGCAGCCGTCAAAGGATACCGGGTATCAACATGAACCGAGACAGCAACAATCTCCAAGCTCGACAGCTGATCCATTTGCTTCTGCTCCTTCTCATTCGGATACAAATTTGTTTGAACCGCCTGCTTTATTGAATGATGGACATGAACATATGCCGAGTGCTGACAGCCTATTTGGGTCTCCTGATCAGACAAACAGTGGAAACGGGATGCATCCGGCTCCGTTTGCACCGCTTTCACAACCTGCACCAAACTTAGTTCAAGCGCAAGAATTGTTTTCTAGTGAAGAACCAAGTGCGAGCTGTTTGTTTGGTGCAGCAGGTGTATCGACGACGTTTCAGGCTCGCCACCGTTCATCGACGGATCCACATACCAAAGCTTCACCTTTACCGCCCAAGCCCCCGATTCGCGCCTCACTCTCATCGTTTAAGTCTCAAGCGGGTGCTGCACCTTTACCAGCAAATTCGCAGATAAACTTTTTGCCGCCGTCAATGAAGCCGCCTGTTAACAACCCGCCTTCACCCATGAATAATGCCTTACTGTCGCCGATGAAAACCATCAAGCAGCATCTTCGGCATCTCCAGCGGTGAAGCTTGAAGACCCTCTCACTCCTGTTTTTGGTTCTATGAAATTCTCCGTCCCAGCTGAGCCTTCCCGAAAGTCTGGGTTGGACGTACGACACATGAAGTTTCCGGCTGGCAAACGCGAAGATGATGCTATATCTAATACCCCGAGTATCGCCCAAAGCCGGATGTCGATGCGGTCAACATTGGATGATTCACTAAAGCTGTCGGATATGTATAAGCAAATGACTGCAAGATTGGAAGGAGAAAAGCACGAGCTGCTTAAGGTGGTAGCAGGCCAAGCGCAAGAGATTGCTCACATGAAGAAGCAGATTAAGTCCTTAGAGCTGCAGTTGAAGAAATATGAGGCTCAAGATGTGTAGTTGAAGGTGAATAAAGATGGTTAGAAGACGCTCCAGCACTGGGATGAAGGAGTAAGCTTTTATGTACAGAATGGATGTGGTTTTGACAGAGAGACTCACTCTTGTGTTTGCTTTTGAAGTAGCTGACTTGTCTTTGTCTAGAGATGTTGCTGGAAGAACTAAACCTTTCATCAATGTTTTGTAGCTCACGGTCAATTCGTGGTTTGCAGCAATGGTCGTGTAGTAGATGCCCTGAGGATCATCTGAGCGATTCGACAGCGCTATCTCCGTGCTGCCACATTTTCGCGCTTCCATCGATTCCGATCGACTCGAGCAAGACGAGATTTTTTATCATTTTGGGATTGAGTCATTGCTCTCAGCAGCAAAACCACTCTGAACCGGCACGACGTGCGCGTTCGCCAAAGTGTACTCTGTGTAGACTAACCCTGACAATTCGGCATATCCACCATATTGTCATACTATTCATCGCGCAAAAGACAAGCTTACTTAATCACAAACAAACGTCGAACGTTAATAGCCGAAGTGTAAAAAGTGCGAGCTAAAGCTGTAACATGACGGCCAACGAATTTATAAGCAATGCCGACAATACAGCTTATATACAATCAACAATATCGGCTGCCTTGCTTCTGATCGAAGAGGTCATTTGAGGCTTGAGCATCGCTCTGATCACTTCCAAATTCATCAGATGCTTCACAACAAGATTCTCAAAAAGAAAGCACTCGACCAATGCGCGCCATTTTTTTCGTTCATCTCCCCGCAAAGTAGGTGTCCACTTGCATGTTTAAAGGGACTTTAATTGTCCCATCAGATCCTCCAAACTTGTGTCCGCGTCCGCTACTGAAGTCGTCTGATCCTCAACAGTAGTCGCTGCAGGTGCCACATCAGACTGATCGTACGCAAATGAAAGACCCGACGCTAGTTTTGCAGTCTCTACAGCAGAAGCTTCCATGACTCCAGCAGCATCGTCCCCACCGAGCTCAATCCCCCACTCATTGTCATCGTGTTCCACAACATGCTTTTCCTGACCATCGTGACCAAGCGCCTTCCAAACCACTGGAGTCCAGCCAACGTGTCCAGCCACAGCTTGCTGTTTACGACACTGCGCGTTCGAGCACTCGGGGTTTGGACGCATCATATCAGATGGGAAAAAGTCTTTCATGGCGCTGTAGCCCAAGTAGTACGACACTTGTCCAAACCCGAGGAGGTATTTCAGTACATTCTGCACAAGCAGAGCAGCCACCAGTCCCATGGTTGTCGGTAATGAGGCTGCACAAACTCCTTCACGCTTGAGCGTGGACTCGTCAATGCCACTGGCCACAATAAGGGGCGGTAAACACTCAAAACACGCCGTACGTCCAGGTAGCAAAAACTGAATATGGCCCGATACAGCGTCTTCCGACACCCCCGATTCCATCCACTCCTGGTTCAGCTCATTGCACGCTTGATTCAGCGCTGTACGTGCTGCATAATTGTCTACACAACTCAAGACTAAATTGATCTTGCTCGAGCCATCTACACCTCCATGCTGTATCCGATCCAACAGCTGGTCAAAGTTGGTCGTCGTTGTGATATCCATTGTATAGTCTTCAAAAACAACGTCTGGATTAATACCTGCACAATTTCACACATATGTTTAGCATCCGTCTCAACAAAAATGATACATTGATAAAGGTCACCACACTCACTATACAATGTCTGTTTAGCAGCCGCCGTCTTGGTCAGACCAGCCTGTTCGGGTCGAAAAAAGAGCCGGTTCATATTGGCAATCTCAACTGTATCGTAATCATACATAATAAGTTTACCAATACCACAGCGCGTCAACATCTCTGCTGCCACCGAACCAATCCCCCCTAACCCTACAATCAAGACCGAAAAATCGCGGATTTTTTCGTAATTATTGACAATTCCCATACGCTTGAGCGCCATTAAACGACTGTACGGATTGCTGTCTACCACCTCAGCACTCATTTGCTTCGTGCGTGTATTACTTGCAAAGTTACGCTCAAGACGCAACTGCAATGCCGCTTTCTGCTGCATTAGATCAGCAATCTGCTTGTCAAGCTTACGTAGCTCCGAGTCCGACATGATGAAGATAAATTTTATCCCACTTTTTATTACAAATAATGATGAATTTATTGATTCAGGATAGTTACATGGAATTAGGAGCAAACATCAGCAAATTAGCTAAAAATTAAAAAGCGGGTCCGATTCCTTCTCTTATTGTTTTTTATCCTGCAGACCATGTATCGGATTTTTCGTTCATTGCGAGTCTTGGCTCGATATTTGCTGGAGTTGAGTAATACACCTTGACATTCGAGCGGCTTAAGCTAGAATCGTCGATTGAAGCGTAAGTTATTCTTCATATAGTTGAGCACGATGGGGCGCAGGATTGTCGAATACGTGTGGCGCAGGCGGTAGAGAATTGGCAACACCTTCCGCTGGATGTGAGATTCCACCACGTCCAAGTACTCGACAGCGCGCTTTCGGACTGGAATCATGCCACAGGGCTCACCAGGCTGCTGCTCCAGCAAATAAATTATCTTTTTGAGATTGGCAAGGAAGTCACCGAGGTTGTTGGACTCATGACGTCGCAGATTGGCTGAATGTTGGATCACCGTATTCACACGACAGAGCTCGCGGAACACCAATGCGACTTCATCGCGGTATTGGTTCTTCATCACTCGAAGCTTAGCAAAGTACATCTCATCACGTTGGGCAAATGAAGCGTCAGTCACTGAGAACGCCAACGACTCGCGTATTTTCCGCTTCCCTGTTCGTTTGATGCTACTTGAGCTACTAGACCTGTGAGTACTTGAGCGACTACTTTGTTGTTGCGGGGCCTCTGTAAGCGGACAGCCTGCATCGACTTGCTGGATTTGGCGTCCGCTATAGGGACATGGTACCAACAATGGTACCGATGCAGTAGCCGCTGGTTGTCGCTGTAACAACAAATTTGGCGATCGAATCAAATTAAGTCGATGACCTTCAACCAGTCGAACCGTAACTTCCACAGCTCCATTCTCGCCATGTGACGGCTGACGACGCAGCGATTCAATGCGATGCTCCAGCTTCTGTTTGTATTGCACTTGATTGGCACTTTTCTTCCACACAAATGACTCGTACCGCGACGCGCACATCCTCAAGTGTCGGTTATCCGGATCTCCTGTTATCCGTAACAACTGCTCCATCCTATTGCATACACCACACATACACCAAAACACTCAACACTTTTTAACCTCCAACATCTAATGTTGCAATCATTCAAAAACGCACGTACATTGCAGCCACTAGTCGATCTCTCAACTCACTATGCACCATGCGTCGCCAGTGTCGTTCCCTCCTCTGTTCATTCTGCACGTGCGTTACCTCGGATGACGTCATACGTTCGTTTTTCTGCAGCTGTTCCTGTAAATTCCGAGGCTTTTGTTCCAGTTCTTCTAGGCCACATATATCAACACTAGTGGCTGAATGTGTAGCCATTGCCACCTCCATAGGCGTAGCAGGAGATTCGGCACCTGTTGTGTTTGGCACACAAGAGACAACAACGTCAGCTACTGCAGACGATGCACGATTTTTGGCCGCTTCCTCCTGTGCGTTAACAGTCTTGGAGCGCATCCTACAGTCGCTCTCGTGGCTCGTCGTCTGTCAAAGTCGTTAAGGGCCACTGCGGGCCTTCTTTTTCTCCCTGATTCGCCTTCTCGTCTCAGACTGGACGTCGAGTCGATGTTCTGTACACCAGTTGCAAAATCACGAATTATAACCGTTTCAGATTTTCAAAAAGTTCATAACCTGCAATTTGTATAAGAAAATGAGAATAAAGGTATGTCTGATCCTAAAAAATGGGTGCTATATAATCGAATGTTGCAGCTGGGATGGCAAAACAATGGTGTGTTCGTCACGTATTGCCACAAGAGAATAAAGTTTGCAACATATCGCTAGCAGTTTCGTAATCAGATTTTGGAAAAATGCTAATGCTTAATCATCAGAATATTCATTTACTGGTTCGATTAAACTTGCATTTCTCAGGATATCAAACGACCTAAACATACCTATTTAGTACCAGGTAAAGGTCAATAAAACCGATTTGCCGCAACTTCGAATAGATGGCAACATCAGGGGTGATACTCAAGATGCCTACGTGATATCTTGAGTTTCACCTTCGAAAAAGTGGTTTAGGACCGGGGGTACGCACACGTCTGATCCTATGTATTAGCACTACTAAAAGGGGAAGGTTACGCTCATTCACTAAATGTTGAAACGACTCTTCGTTGATTACAAGAAGATTATCCGACATCCTTCAACAAAGAAGGTGCAAAGAATAATTGTTCTTCTCTACAAAGTTATTACATTCGTGTAACAAAACAAAACTGACCAGAACATGACTGAGTCTTCATATCTTTCACCATGTACTGTACCCATCTATCGAGTAGATTAATACATAATCCAGCCTACAAAACACACTATAAAACCGCCCTTATCCTACTATTTGATTATATTCTAATCTGATTCCACCGTCATTAGCATGGCACATGAAGTCGTCCCTGGCTTTTCTTCTGTTGATATTGCAGCATCTGACCCATCTACACCTTCAGTCCATGCCTCAGTCTCTACCGAAGACAACATCGATACTACCGACCAATTTCTAGACGTTGTCGTAACGAGCGTTGACACGATATCTCCTCGTGTCTCTCAAAGTATTGCATCATCTCTTTCTGCCTCGGATCTCCGTGTCTACACCGTTGAATTCGTTGTTACCACAGGCGTTCATTCCTACTGCATCCAACGGTCTCTTAACACACTCTTTGACGTGTTAACTGCCATTCAAACGGTGGCCCTAAAGCTCCAGCAATCCAGTGATGACTCTTTCACGTTGCCGGAATTTCCTTCCAAAGGTAATCGCAATGACTCCGTGATCGCCCAATGGTGTGCTCAGATGACAGAATTCCTGGCTATTCATCGGTGTGGAATGCTCGAGCTGCATGAAGATTGGCTTTATTTTGTGGCCGAACGGGACGAAGATAGAGGGGCTCGGATGCACATGACAGCTGTGGACTTTATCCTGCAACCTTTTCCTTTGGAAAAGCTCTACGTGCCAAGAGGTTCACAACATGAAGTGGTGATACAAGTGAAGGTCCAGAACGATGAGAAGACACCACAATTTATTGTGTGGAAGTTTGATTTGGAAGAGTTTGATGTCGACTTTAGTATCTCATTTGCTCCGGAGCCGTACGAACAACCAGTTGAAATTGTACATGCTCGGACGAGATATGTGTCGACGACTACAGGGCGGGCCGTTGAAGGGTTATTTCGATGTTTACGGCCAGGGAAAGCGACACTTGTATGGGATAACTCCTATTCTAGACTACGAGGGTACGTGAGTAAAACATAGATACAAGGATGCTATTATACTTAACACCTCATGTTTTTTGTTGCTTCTTTTGTTGGGTAACAGGAAAAACATCTTGTACCAGGTGCAAGTAGTATCGAGCAAGATAATGGACTCTGCTACAGCTGCAGCGGATGCCTTGGATGAAGCTGTTCAGGCGGGAAAGGCACGTGACCGAGAACGGGATGCAGCTTTGTCCACAGCGCTTATTGTTAGCTCTGCATCACTACCTGGTGCAAATAAGTCGTCCGGATACGCAGCATATATCCCCGAGGCTCTCGCTCAGCAGAGCTGGTTGCTGAGCGCACCCATAAATGTGGCTGGACACTTGGCATCCAAGCTGTTTGGATCCCAGGAGGTAGTGCCGTTGACAAGGAGCCAACACAACGGAGGGTCAGACAGCGATGCCCGCAGTTTGCTGCAAGAGCTGAATGGACTCAACATGCAGCTGATGGAGCGAATGGTATGGCAGCTGTCCGATGGCAGAATTGGCGCTCATACACTGGCATAACCATTGTTTTGTGTGTACTCGTTCGTTCCAAATATACAGGAAAGTCATGAAGATAACGTTGCCAAGCTGACCGCAGAACGCGATCAAGAACGATCGAAGACACAAATGGCGATTGTGGAGAAGGAAAATCTCACAAACATGGTGAACGCAAAAGAGCAAGAATTAGCTGCTATTGCCGGTGAGCTTCGGAGGATACAGAGAGAACGCGAGGCATGGCGCGAGATTCAAGCAGAACGAGATGCTTTGCTTGAAGAAAAACATCGCTGGGCAATGGTACGCAATCAGAATAGGCATAGTAGCAGCAGTACTCCGCTAATCATGCTACGTTTGGACTTCCGTTGCTGGCGTAGACGGACGACTTTGATGGTGGTGATGAAGAAGCTTCCAACCTGCCTAGCGACATGGACTTGACGACTCGTAATCGTCTTGAGAAGGAACTTGGCCAAGCTGAAGCCGCAGTATTGCGGTGCCGCGCGGAGTTGCGTTACCCCTTGAACAATCACCTGACGGGAACTTCCACTCGATTGGAAAAGATTGCTAGAGAAATGACGGCGACCAAGCAACAATACGAGGAGCAAATGCAAACGTGGGAACAGGAACATTTGCAGCTGACGCAGCAACTAGTGAAAGCTCGTGGCCAGAGACGTGTGCTAATAACGGAGATACGTAACATGCGCAGTCAGACTGAAGGCCAGATTGCTGTGGCCATGGCTGAAGCAAGCGAGGCGCGAATGGTGAACAAGCGCTTGAAGAAGCAGAATGAGCTACTACTGACCCAGATACGAGCACTGATTGATGAAGCGGAAATCAACAAAAAGAAGCTCCAGGATGTTCGAGATGAAGCGAAGCAGCAGCAACGACAACAATTACTCCTTGAAGATCAGCCAAGGGTGACTGGAGCCACTGATACGGAATCTGAAGTCGCAATGGTAGACCTTTCAGTGAGGAGTAAGCAGCCTTCACTCGAACCGCAACTGCAGGCTCAAAATCTGGATGGCCTTGCAAGCCAAAGTGTAGAAAGCCAAGAAAAGACGACGGAAGAAAAGGATGAGTCGCCTGTTCCATACACATTGAGCGAGGACGACATCGCCATCTTAAGTGGCCGTCCACCACCTTATACATCTTCAAAACCAGCTTATATTTCCCGTCAAAAGCATCAGGAGGAGGCACAGACATTGTTGTTCGAGTCAACCGTCGACCATGAGAATCCGTATCGTGCACGACTGATAACCTTCTTCAAAGAGTGTGACCCGGAAAAGCTGACGGAAGTGGATGAGATGCTAACAACCTACAAAGGTGTCGAAGAATCTCTCTTTGAAAGTTTAGAGCTCAAGTATAGCTTTATGGATCTCAATCGACGTATAGCTCAGATAATGTAAGATAACACAAAGCAAGCTCATCATGACAAAAGCTCCATTACAAGAAGTAAAAAGATGCAGCTTTTTACTGCTTTCTTGCTCACGTTGTTGCAACAAGTTTCCCGTCTCGTCTCCCCTACTCTCTCTTACTCTTAGGAATCTTACCACCACGGCTCGTGCAGCAGCCACACATGCAGCCAAGCAATAAACCAAGCAGTAATCCACCCGAGAACGTCACAAGTAGTACATTCTTCTTGGTCTCCAGTAGCGTCATAAAGTCACTCTTAACATGCAACATCTGCTCAATAGCAAAATCCAAGAGACCGGGAGAAGCAGTCACTACTTCACCTGCAACATTCTTGAAACCTCCACGGGCAAAGACCAAAAACTCTTCAAGTGTTCGTTTGCCTCCAAATTTATACGACTTGCCATGGCTAAAGAGCAATACAGTAGGAAAACCACGGATACCAAAGCGTTTACCAAGTTCAGCATTGTCCGTCACGTCCACTTTGGCCACGTTTACTTGACCCTTAAGCTCGTCCGCGACTTGTTCGTAAATAGGCGCCAATTTCTTGCAGTGACCACACCAAGGAGCATAGAATTCCACGAGCCAATCACCGGTTGTTGCACCTGAACCGGCTTGCGTCTTGGCCTCAAAGTCAGCACTGGTTAGAACGATCACATTGGATGCAGAGATCAATTGGATCAAGCATAGGAGCGTCGTCACGCAGAGGAAGAGCATAGACGACATTGTTTTGCTATGGACGATTAAAGAAGATTCTGCAAATGAGGGGCAAGTGGATATTTGGCGGTGGTTTTGTTAGTGTGGTGCACATGAAGCGAAAGAAAAAGGTTTCCATGGTAAAATATGTTTTTTTTCCATTTTTTTTAGTTTGAGATGCAGGTGGCAATATGATGCTAAATCAGTACATAGTCCATTTAATGATGATAGTCTCTACGACGACGATCGTTCCGATCTTTGCGATTGCTATAGCGGTGTTTCGCGTCATAATTAGTCCCGTTGTCGGGGGCTACGGCTTCGACGTCGGCTCATCTGTCGATACCGCTTGGAAGACCTTTCTCCACTTCTGTCGGGATCTGTACGCCCTTTACGACAAGCATTATCCTCTGCACCATATTTACCACAAACATTGGATCGTTCTCTTGACCTTGATCTTGGTTGGCGCTTTCTGCTTGATGACCGATCTTGCCGTCGCGGTCGATTTCGGTTACGCACTTCAAGTGCGTCGGTGAAGTTGAGCCAATTCACGGCTTTGGGGCGAGATTGCTGGACCGTAGATAGACCCGTGCCGCTTTTCTCCTCATCCTGAAATCCACCGCCAAGCACTAGTTCCCGATCCATTTCGAGACTGAGTCCGACCATGTGCTTCTGAATCATATCCCGGTATGCCTCTAGGCCGGTCTTCGTACCTACCTTTCCTTTGTATGAAGCACGTCGACGCTTGTAATTGTGCTCGGCATTTGCATCACTGGGTCGTGTTTGAGAAGTTTCAAGAACAACGTCCATGGTCGTCAAGTCATGACTCCCAACTGACGACTTGACTTGTATTGTCATATCTTTCGCACTCTTTTCTGTTTTCTGCCGGAGTTACAAAGCATTGTAGTGTCAGCTGACACGGTTGCGATAAGAATGGCTGAATGGAAAATCTACAGCAACGACATACGAACACACTTTGCAGCCCAATTTCGACGACCAAAAACTTCCAAAGCGCCAGCACGATATTCTACAATGCACATGCAATCAAGACAGTCACCAACAACGCGAATCAGAACTAGCGTATTGCACGCAACTCACCGAGACATTGCTGCCCAGGAACTCGTGCAGTTCCAAAACCAGCAGGTCAGGCTGGCAGAAGTCGGGGTGTTCCAACAATCCAGCCATATAGTCGACCAGCTCGTCATCGAATGCCACACCAGTAGGAAGCACGCCAGGACGACTCAGCTCAGCATTCAGCCACCGACGCAACGATGAAGATGTTACCAGTTCGCGCTCACTGTCTTTCATCGTAGCAAATGCACGCGGGATCCGCTGCCACGCTTGTACTTGCTCGTAGAATGTCCCCGCAGAAACTGCAGCCCTTCCAACTGCAGCGATCACTCCGTCTCCGTCGGCTGCACTAAGTGTCCCTTTCTGCTCGTCATACTGACCTGCTTCAGGTTCTAACAGACTTTGCAGCCCAAAGCTCCCATCACGGATACCTTCCGTCTCTGATCGTACTCGACTATCAGCAGTTCCAGTAATAGTTCTCGTAAACGTATCGTGAGCAATCACAGCATCTTCTTCTATGCGTCTACCATAAAAGAACTGCAGAACAAAGTCCCGATGTCGTTAACACAAAATCAAACCACGACCCAGTCATTGCACCCTTACCGCTGCATTATGAATAGGTCGAGGTCCCCGTTCTCCATGACATTTCCTCTATTATCCAAGCACCACATCAATACAACAACATGCAAGTGTTAATTCAAATTCAAGAGCGAGTCTAAAACCAAGAACAGATCAGACCAGATGCTTCTCCAGTGACGTTTTCGGCACGAAATGTTCATGCAAACCTGAGTCACAGGATACGAACTCCACCGCTGGATCGATTTTCACTCCCGTTGTCTTTACTAGCGTCTGCAATGCATCAGAGATCTGCGTCGCGTACGTCGCATAAGCTGCTGCCATTTTCAAGCCAGTGAATTTGATTGCACCATTTGTGTCCGCTATGATTGTACCGTTTGGCGTTGCTACCATTGGACAAAAAAAACATCGCAGACTCAAAAGCGACAAACATAATCGACCAGTTGGCTATGGAGTCCCCGCCCGAGACTATGAGTGTGGTGGCCTCAGAGCACACCCTCGAGGTTTCAGACTTGTTACCGACAAATATGGTCACGGACACGGCTCTGGCTTCTCTCCCGATACCTGAAATGACTTCAATGGAATCGACGGAATTGCCCCAAGAAACTCCCACAAATGTGCTAGAAATGTCGTTCGTGTCACCGATAATGGCCATGGAAATGGAAATCAAATGTCCGGAAGAAGTCAAAAGTGAAGAAGTATCAGGTGAAGAAGTAAAAGGTGAAGAGGTATCAGATGATGCACTCAAAGTGAAACGAAAAAACTTGACAGATCAACAGCGGATGACAATTGTCCACTATTTGCTTGCGAATAGCGCAGCAGGACGTCTAAAGCACGGAGACATGAAAACTGCTGCGACTCACTTTGGAGTACATCGTGCTACAATTCGACGGCTATGGAAACTGCATATGGCTTCTAGTGTGACGGACGGTCTAGCCGGGAATGTCGCCAGTCGGATTAAAGGGCATTCGGGGAGGAAGCCAAAGATACCGGACGAAGAGCTAAAAGCTCGCATTGCTGCGATACCAGTGGAGCGTCGGATGACAGGAAGGGGACTTTCCACAGCTTTGCAAGTAAGCAATAGTGTCGTCGTACGTCTGATTAAGAGTGGAAAACTACGACGTCACCCGAAAAAGTTGCACTACATTATGTAAGGATAGGAACTGCTTGTAGCAGACAGGAACCATTTCTGTTTGGTTTTCATGTGTAACTCTGGTATGAGGCTAGTAATCTTATCGTTTTCTGTAACAAGGTGTACAAGCTCTGGGTCCTTTAGGCAAACGTAGTTGATAAGGAGCATGCAAAGTCGCAAGACTCGACATATAAGCTAAAACTACTCTAATATTGCTGTATAAGCTTCACAGAAGAGTGTATCTACCACTACAGCGCTGACTGTATCATGTACGCGTTTGACGCGGTATACACGAAACCTTACATTACCATTTTGTTAGTTGGCTCACCGTAGCAGTGATACGCTGAGTTATTTTTTGCCTCATTCAGAGCTACAGATTGAAGGTGATAATGTGTGAGGAGGACCAGCGTAAGAGTAGGCGTGGTTGCTGGGCAGCTGATGTTGTTTCCTCTATAATAAAAACAGTCCCATATATGCTGTAAAAAGTGCTTTTTTGACCATGTATAGTTTAGGACTCAATCGTCGCATTTATTCTCCCGGAATTAACTTTGAAAGGTGAATAAAATACAGGTCGTCCTTCAATAAGATATGGTACAGGGGTCAGCAATTTCCACATCTTAATAAACATATCAGTATGTTGTGTGTTGTAAAATAAGGGAATTTAATAATAAATAATATGATCAAAAGCGGAATTGACCATAAAAGTTATTACATAGTGAAAGCTATAACTGGCTACATGCCCAAGGTTACACGTACCCGTTAGGACGTGGTACTTAACGCGGAGGTGATAAGTACGTGTGTTCTTAGTCTGTCACTTGGGTGAGGTACATCATGTGACCCACCCTTATGTATGTGAAACACAAGAGGTGTATTCATATTGAAAGAAATGACACCCAGCAACGGTCGTCATTGAATGACGTCACAGACGAATATCATTCGTGAACTTATATACATTTAAGATTGTCACATGGGGACGCGCATCTTAATAGATGTGCGTCCAAACATTGATACTAGCCAACCTTCTTCTAATTTCTTTTCTACTCACATTAAATATAATCAGTCTTACACTGTCCATTTACATCACACGCCACGCAAGAAGACGGAAAGTCGCTTCCGCGACGTCACTAGTAAAGAGTACCTCAGTGCTGAGCGAGGCAGCGTTTGGGCGCCAACAACTACCTCGCTGCACGCGAGAGAAGTCGGTTAAACCGCATCCTCGTTAGTAGTGCGTCGCAGCTTCTAAAGCGCCCGCCTTCACTTGGTAGCACTAGTAGTCCTTCCCACGACCCGTCTCTCTAAGCGTGTTAGTGAGTGTAGTTGAGCTACACAGCTTACAAGTCAGAAAAATACTTTCCGGCTAGACGTCACTTAATTCTATAGAATCAATACAACGACTAAGAAGGCTACCCGTTATAATGAACTAGGAAAGACTTTTATTGTTACGGGGCTAGAACGTATCGTCACTACAGACTCAAGCCCAAGTATTAGGTATTAAGTAAATTAAACTCCGATTTTTTATTTTGTTTTATACGTACTAATTACGAAATTGTTTTAAGTCGTAATAAATACGACCGTGTTACCGCTTTTCGAGAACAAACCAATATTAAATTGCCACGCTGTGCTCGCTATTCGAGAACAGCACCTGCCTACAAATGAGTTTATTTCTTTAATGCTATATATGCAATGTGGCCCATTACATCACTCCCTTCTCAAGACAGCACTTACCATCCGTGAGTGCTCAACTGTCGAAACCTCATCGCTCACAAACGAACAAGCGACGTCCGAACGCACGACACCCAACACTGCAGCACTCCCAAGTCACATGAGCACGCTAGTGCAATCACCAACATCATGGCGCAACAACTCATCCTTGGGCGATGTATGACTTGTCCGGAGCTCGCGCTCCGGACTCAGCGGAAACGATGCAGGACTACTCCCGGCGTTTTTGTAAATTGCGTAAAAAGAGCCTTGATGGGATCGGATACGAGGCCCTGCAACGTTCCTGGTGCGCCTTCGTCCGACCATAAAATTGGATGTTCGAAGATCGTAGCAGCTTCCAACTGTGGCTCGCCAATCAAGAAAAATTTTGCGCCGATCACTTAATCGGCGCGCTACACGAAACGGTGTGTGAGAATGTTTAGATTAAGGACCGCCTGTGCTTCGTTCATGTCAATGAAGGATACCAGTTTTGTGACTCGACTCCACGTCCAATTCATGACGAATGGCGGAGACACATCGCTAAGTCTCCACTCAGCGAACGCGAAAGAAGTTGGATAGCGAAGTCTGAGCGAACACACGGAAAAGCGCAATTATTCTTAACGCGCCTCGCTGGCAGCACCAACTCGCAACAGTGGAGTCAATATTTGCAGCATAATCAGCGCAAGGCAGCGACACATTCGTCTGCTCGTCCTGATGCGCGTCTCGCCTCGTCTTCGTGGTGATATATATTCACCACGACGTTCTCGTTCTCGACGGCGTGGGTAGCCTCAACGTTTTCGTTTATTACGAGAGCATTTGCTTTCGCGCTCGTATCGGAATAGCCCAACTTCATAGTCTCGTATGGCTAAACAACATCTGGAACATCTGGAACGTCACGAAGAAGAGAGAAAAGCGGTTACCAGGTATGGGAATCCAAGCCAATGTACTCGGTACCACGACGAAATTGTACTCGAGAAGAATGAGAGCCATCGTACCACCGTTGGGACAGGTGTGGACTCTCCATCGCTGTGCGTAGCGATGAATGGTCGGTATACAAAGCAAATGTACGTTCACCAAGCAGATGCACGCGAAACTTGATGAGTGCGTATCGCATCGCTAACAACTCCTTGTCATGAACCGGATAGTTCTTCTCAGCTGATTTCATCTGTCGCGACTGATAACTCACGACTCGTCCACGGCCCTCATCATCACAATGCATGAGGGCACAACCGATTGCAAAATCACTGGCATCGTATACCACGTGGAACGGTTTGGAGTCGTCTGGTATAACCAGGACTGGCGCTGGCGCCATGATCTTCTCACTGCATCAAAGGCTGCTTGGTACTCGGAACCGCGTGGTTCAAGAGTGAAGACAAAGGCTAAATAATCCATTATAATCCTTCGTATACTTATGCAAGTAAGTATCCTAGCCGAGCCACTGGCGTAACTCCGTAGGGTTCTTGGGTGTAGGCCACGAACAGATGGACGACACCTTCTCTGGATCATCTCGAACTCCCGATTTACTCACATAGCAACCCAGCACCGGAATCTCCAAGACACACTTCTTGAGATTCGCGTACAACTTGTTGTCCCGCATAACTTGAAACACTTGCTTCAGGTGTTGAAGGTGAACATGGACATCGTTGAGGTTTTTCTCAGCGCGAATGTGGTCGAAAATGTCGTCAAAATAAATTGGAGCAAAGTTCCGAAGGGGTCTTAACACTTGAGACACCATGAGATTGAAAGTGGCTGGAGCGTTTTTCAATCTTTGTGGCATCACAAGCCGCTCCTATAACATACCTCGGGGTGCTCAGCGCTGTGAGTGGGATATCGCTCGGTCGCATCAAAATCTGGTAAAAGCCATCGGTCAAGTCGATGGCACTGAAGATGACACTTTCGGACGTGAAATTTAGCACCATGTCCTTCCTGGGGATATTCGTTTGCGCAGGAATACTGGCATCATTTAACTTATTAAACGCATGCATTATCCGCCAGCCTCCCGTAGCCTTCTTCACGCAAAAGGTTGGACTCGAATGTGGTGAGATACTCTCACGCACATGACCCGCCTTGTGGCCGACTTCGAAGAATGCACAATAGCTTCGACTTGATCTTGAGGCAACGGCCACTGCCGTATTACACAATACTTCGACCCTGACACGAGTTAATCTCGTGCCGAACACCACGTTCAGCAGGAAGTTCAGTCGGAATTTTTGTCCGGGAACACGTCTGCATACTCACGAGCAATGTCGTAGACCGGGTTACCAGACTCTCGCAGAGCCTCCCATGACTGTGATGCAAACCTTTCTTCACGCGATGACTTTGGCTCAGCGCTCCGAGGACGCGCCATTTGCTCCTCGTTTGTCGCGGTAACCACCCCGTTGGTGATTACACACACTTTTTCCACATTGCCTCACGTAGGAAATGGTTCCAGGAAAGCCCTGGAAGGCTTGTAATGGAAGACGCGTCGCGAGGTGGACTCGCGACTTCAATGTATTGGCGTCTTTTTGGACTCCCTTACACATACACGATATCGTGGACACATTCCAACGCTGAATTCTCGATGCTGTTGTCCCAATCGTGCTTTGCGTCACTACTCGAAGCTGGCGAGACGCAGTCAGGTGATAAACCATCACCCCCCCCCCCTCTAGACATTGGATGTTCTCATACATAAGCCGTAAACACATGACAGAAGTAGCCCAAACTTCACCGTCGACACCTGATGCGGGAGCTCCTGCTCGGCCGCCGTAACCCGTGTGAGAGCCCCTGCTCAACCACAATGTGCCCATGCGGGAACCTCGGCCACAGTGGGTGATGATGGAAACTCTGGTTCAATCATCATGTTCTCGCGTGGGGACTCCTGTCCGTCCACGTTGTACTCGTGTGGGAGCCCCTGCTCAGCTAGAAATTGCCCATGTGTGGAATCTACAGTGGGTGATGATGGGAACCCCGGTTCGACCGTCATGCTTACACGCGAGAACTCCTGTCCGTCCACGTCACACTCGTTGGCGAGCTCTTTCTTGCCGTCAAAAATGCCCTTGTGGGAGCCCCTAATCAACCACAATAGGTGCAGATGGGAACCCCGGTTCAACTACTGTATTCACGTGCGGGAACCCCTGTACAACCGCGTTATTGACGCGCGGGAACCCCTGTTCAATCGCGTCGTTCTCGTCGTTCTCCTCGCTGTGGAGCGAGGAGTAATTGTCACTTGTGTCTTGAAAAACAGCCAAGCTGTACAAAGAGGGCCATCGATCCCTTTGTGCACCGCATGCGTCGTGGATTCGCGATTTATGACGCTGACGTTGGGACAGTCACTTGGAGACACCA